ATCCGTCCCAGGTTTGAATGGTTGATTTCGGAAGTCTTTTGGCTGCCGCACGAACCTGGCCAGGCGTGATGGGCTCCAGGCGGTCACGCTCGGTCGACGGCAAGTTAACATTCTGCTCCTGCGGCTTGACCTTCCAATGCCCTGCTAAGCGGGGGGCCTCCGACTGGGGCAGCTCAAACGGCCGTCATGAAAAAAGGTCTACAGATCTGGGCGCCATACCTTTCGAGGCTGCCAGCTGGTGTGCTTTGAGGTCCAACGGTGAGCCCACCCAACCCCTTTGGACATGGCCTCCTGGGCCCAGTTGCGCCAGGCGGTGGTTTCACATTGACGGTCCCTGGCCTCCTCAGCTTGCAGCGCTCGGTCGACTGATTCATCGAGCTCTTCGAAAACCTGCAGGACAAGCTTGGGGTCCAGCACCCCGTTGTCCTGATCTTGAGCAGCGGCGCCTAGAGCAGTCCTAACGCTGGCAAGCAGACGGGCAAACTCCTCGGCGCCTTCGAGCTCTGGAGGTGGTGACTGGATGCTGACCAGAATCTCCGAACGATAAACCCCTCCCTGGAATGAGCCTTGCGGATGACATCCATCACTTTTTTCCTTTCCTTTTTTCTTCCAACCGTCTGATCGGGATCGACAAAATCCTCAAACAGGCTCTGGGTTCCACCTCCCGAGCGGCTCCTGGTGCCCAACGGATCTTGGGTAGCCCTACTCTCGGCATGGTGGGCGACTTGATCGGCGTATCCGTGCGGATGCTGATCGACTTCGCCATGTCACTGGCGAATTGCTGGCACGTGGACTTCAGGGCCAGCAAGCGGGCCTCTATGTCGGACTCCTGGGCGATGACCTGGTCCAGGAAACCCAGAGCAGCTTCGGTTTTGTCCCAAGACGGTGCAAACTTGGTGGGCCCATGCGGCCTGGCAGTAGAGAACGGTTGGGGCTTGTCCAAGACGGGCGCCATAAAGGGCTTCCCACACCTGAGCTGAAACAGACGGGCCTGTGGGGGCTCAGCGGGTAGTCCTCCAGGACGGTGGCGCCCAAGAGGTCCTGGTCGAATCGCGATGAGGCCAGGACGTAGTCGATGGTGCTAGCTGATTTCTTCGTCTTACACCTAGGGGTAGCTGGGGCCAGAATCTTGAGGCCCGCTCTCAACGGGTAGTTCGGCTCCACGATCTTTTTGGTCGAAACGTTGGAATCCCCAGCAATGATGAGTGGCTGTCGTGCAGCACCCTGAATCATTGCAACCCCAGCTAGAATCTCTGAGTTGTATTTGTTAAGGCCCACCCCGTCGGCCAGGTAGATCGAAGATAGTGCGAAAGGGCGGTGTCCTGGAAGTTCAAGTGAAACTGCTGTGCAACGTGATTCTGCGACCCCTGCAGGAAGTTGCACCCTGGATACTCCGAAGTCATGCCCGCCACGAATCAAACTCCTTGTGCCTTGGACAGGGTACCCTTTGTCACTGAGCACGGCTGGTGAGAGCATCGCCTGCCACCCCGCGCGCTCGCACCGCTGTGCTATACATGGGAGCGCGTCTTTTAAAACTCTGACCTCTTGGCAGCAGATGATGTCCACTGCCTCCGCTGCTGAAGACTGGAGAAACTTCCGGATCGATCGCCAGCAGCCGCCGTTGATTGTGGCGAACCTGACCGTGTTACCCGCAAGACGTTTTGTCCGCAGGATCGCCCTTGCCGCCCTCGCCCTTGGCTGCGGCGACGCACATGGCCTTGGCGCTCTTCTGGAGTGCCTCGGTGCCCCCCAGCTGCTGAGAGGACTGCGGGAGGTTCTGGCCTTGCAGGTTCAGCACCAGGCCGACGGCCTCACCAGCGCGCTTGATGCCCGCGAGGCGCTTCTGCTCGGGGTTGAGCTCCTCGACCTCCATGGCCTTCTCCTCCTCGTCGTAGGCTGCGTCCTTCTCGGGGCTGATGTCAGCACCACCTGCAGCGCCGTCCGCTGCGCCAGGGCCCGCTGGCGTGGGCTGTCCGCCAGCGGCAGGGCTGGGGCGTCGGCGGGCGGGCTTGGCGTCGCCTGGGGCCGCCTGGGCCCCGTGGGGCTGGGCCTGCGCAGCCTGGGCATGCTGCGCCACCTGCGCCGCTTGCCACTCCACGTGCAGCTTGGCCGCGAGCTGCGCGACGGCCGTCTGCACCTCGGCGGATGGTGCGAGTCCTGGCGGGTTTGGCTGGAGATGAATGACTCCAGACTTGGGGCCTCGCATGCTCCTTGAGCGCCTGCTGGGCCGCCATCTTGTGCTGGGTCTCGAGCTGCTGTACCTCAGACGTGAGGTCGGCAACTGTCTTGATCTGCTTCTCATAATCGTTGGCCATCTTCACAATGGCCTCATGCGTTTTGTCACATTCATGCTGGGCGCTGGTCAGCTTCTTCTTGGTGATCTCGAGCTGATAGTGCAGGGACTTCCTCTGCTGGTCCCAAGGTTTGGCAGCCAACGTTGATGCCTTCACTGCTTTCAACTCATTCACGGCCTGCAGGTAGTGCTGCCCAGAGGTGCCGTCCATCTTCTTCCAGAACTGGACCGCCGCCGAACACACAACGACTGGGTCACGTTCGGGTTTCTCTTGTGCTCGCACTCCAGCAGCTCCTTTGAGGTGGCCTTTCGGCGCTGGGCTGACTGTGCGCCTCCGCCACCGATTGGGGATGCCGTCAGGATTCACGTTCTGGTTGGCATTGGTCGATACTGACTGGGCAGGCCGTCGACCGAGGAAGGCTCCTCCACACTGGCCACAAAACTTGAACGGCTTGTCAGCCCATGTCCATCCTTTGCACCCGCCCGACTGGCAGCAAAGGTACTTGCGCCCTTCGCCTCGGCCACGGCTGGCTTGCCTCTGGCCGCCCATGTCAGACTGGTACGAGGGAAACCCCAGGCTTGGCTGCTGGCCTGGGGCGGTGCTGCTGGTCAGCGCGAAAGCAGGCGCCACCTGCCTACGGTAGGCTTGTGCCAGAACGGCTTGAGCCAGGGGGGAGGAGGAGGAGGAGGAGGAGGAGGCGGAGGAGGAGGAGGAGGAGGAGGAGGAGGAGGAGGAGGAGGAGGAGGAGGAGGAAGAGGAGGAAGAGGAGGAGGAGGAGGAGGCGGAAAAGGAGGAGGAGGAGGAGAGGAGGAAACCGAGGAGGAGGAGGCGGAGGAGGAGGCGGAGGAGGAGGAGGCGGAGGAGGCGGAGGAGGAGGAGGAGGAGGAGGAGGAGGAGGAGGACAGAGGAGGAGGAGGAGGGAGGAGGAGGCGGAGGAGGAGGAGGAGGAGGACGAGGAGGAGGAGGAGGCGGAGGAGGAGGAGGAGGCGGAGGAGGAGGAGGAGGAGGAGGAGGAGGGGGAGGGTCGAGGAGGAGGGGCATTGGGACAAAAGCTGGCCGCCGGCGCGGGGCCTGAACCCCTCGACCGCCAGCTGGCCGCCGTGGCGTCTCAGCCACCCGCAGGGGGCCTCTCCTGGGGACTGGGGTTATCTTTAGGTTTGTGGAGGACGATCAATGGAGAGGAAGCATGCTGCCGACTAATTTCCAGATGTCTAAAAGATGTATTAACAATACTTTACATATGTAAAAAACAAGATGCAAACATTTTTAGAACATGCTTTACACTTTTCTAACACATCTTTAACTCAATGATAGGATCGTTAGAGTGTCCACTGTCATGGCATCCACAACTCTAGGTCGGGCCTGTCCCCCTACAGGCGAAATGTTCAAACATAGTCCAAAAAGAGTCTGGGTACCATTTTTGGAACATAGGATGTGTAGTTATTGTTCGAGTATTTTTTGACTATGTTTGACTTTTCGTCCAAATATGCCTGTAGGGGGACACGCCCGACCAAGGTTATCTCCGCCCTTCCTGTCAAGAAGTCCGAAATGGGGACAATTCGACTGGGGACGACGACCGGCAGCGGTACCTGCTCGTGTTGGGCAGGTTTCAGCTGGTTCCGATGCTCCGGTGCGAGCGTGGTCCGTTTCGTCGCGCCTGTCGTCCGCCCGCGAGCAGCCGCACGATTCGGACAACATACGACCCTTGTCGCCGTTCGTCTCGTCGACGAATGCCACCAGAACACGTGCGTCACGGACGACGACGACGAGGATGGATGGCGTTGGGCGTCGTCCTCCTCGTTGGGCGCCGTCATGTCGGACGTGCCAATTTTGGTGCTAATAGACGTAGCCACGTCTGGTAGATCTGTCGTCTGCACCGCGAAACAGCAAGGATACCAATGTTTCACGCCCCATCGATGCACCATCTGAGGAACCCGAGAGACAGTTGACAGGCCCTTCGATGACAGCACCCGCACAGTAAGGATGGGCAGCCTTCCCAAGGGTACCCTTGCATCCTTGCCTCCTCGGTCCATCCTTGGCCATTTTCGTTGGCCGCGCCCCGCTCGAAAAGCTTCGAAATGGGCGTCCAAGGCCCTTGCATCCTCATCGCGCATCCTTACTATACTGGTTGACTGCACCCCCACCCAGGGAAGTGAGGTCAGCCAGCGGAACCAAAAAACGTTCTTGCGCGCTGGGGACGGGGAAGGGTCCATCGATGCTGCACGGAGTGCCCCCCCCCCCCCCCCCCCCACCTCGCTTCTATCGGGAGGGGCGTGCGTCTTGCTTGGGTTTCGTGGGGGCAGGGAGCCCCGAAACGCACGTCGGAGGGCGAGAGCGAGAGTGCGAGTGAGAGAGAGAGAGAGAGAGAGTGAGAGATAGTTTTAAGTCGGGTGTGTCCCACTGCAGGGCGAATATTCAAAAATAGTTACAAAATAGTCAGGGGACGATGTTCAAAACATATGTTTGGGCATGTTTTTTGTTGTTGCTGGAATGTTTGGAGTATCCTTATTTTCCCGCCCATATCCGCTTGTAGGGGGACACGCCCGACCTAAAGATAGTGGATGTTTTGTATTGGAGAGCGTTGAGGAGGAGGAGGCGCAGGGAGAGCTGGAAAAGCAGAGGGGGTCATGGCGGTGATCCTGTTCAGGGAGACTGAGAGGGTAGCAGGAGTGGGAGGAACGTGCGGCTTCACCCCGCGCCCCGAAGGTTGCCAATCTTAGCCGAGCAGTCCGCATCCTGGCCTTCGACCGGTTCCACCGGGAGGTCCTGACCGTTGTGAAGGCCGATGGTGGGGGTTTTGCTCGCTGATTGTGTGCAGAAAAGGGAAGCGCGCCTACTAGTTATCTTCCTCCTCTGTTTGCCCCTCCTCGTCGGCCTTCTCCTTGCGCTCCGCGCGCCAGCAAGGAGGGTCCACTGCATGTTCGAGAAATCCGTGCGGACCGTCGACAATTAATGCTCATGCAGTTCTTCTTCCCCCATTCACCAACGAGACGCCCCGTCTGGTCGGCACCTGACCCAGGCGCCTGCGGCGAGTTCCACCGCCATGCCAACGCAGCACGTGATGTGGTGGCCGCCTGGAAGGCCGTGGCGTTTAACTCCTCTCGTCCCTGGGCCTCGCGGTGCCGTAATGTGTGAGAGGCTGCTCGGGAGGCTGGAGGCAGACGCAACATGCGGCAGCCACCTTCTCAGGGCCCAGAGGGCCGTGGCGCCTGACGCCTCCCTTCCCTGGTTCCCCCTTGGCCCTGGGGGCCATGGTGGGGCCCCAGGAGGGAGGCTGCTGGAGGGCTCCCCAGGAGTTGAGCCTCTCGGGAGCGTTGGCGGTCCTCGGATCAGCTCGGAGGGCCTTGCGGTCGTCCGGGGGTGCCCTGGGGGCCGTGCCGAGGGTGGTGCAGACTGTGCAGGTTTTGTCGAGGAATCGTCTGGGGGGCTTCTCTGGGGGTGGTTTCTGGTCCCAGTCTTAAGTCGGGCACGTCCCTCTACAGGGGGAATATTCAAAAATAGTAAGAAATAGTCTGGGGACGATTTCTCTATTATTTGTTCGACTAAGTTCGAGGTGTTGTTGTTGTTGTTGTTGTTGTTGTTGTTGTTGTGGTTGTTGTGGTTGTTGTGGTTGTTGTGGTTGTTGTTGTTGTGGTTGTGGTTGTGGTTGTGGTTGTTGTTGTTGTTGCTGTTGCTGTTGTTGTTGTGGTTACTGTTGCTGTTGCTGTTGTTGTTGCTGTTGTTGTTGTTATTGTTGTTGTTGTGGTTGTTGTTGTTGTTGTGGTTGTTGTTGTTGTTGTTGTTGATTGTTGTTGGTTGTTAGTGGTTTGTGGGTGGTTTGTTGTTTGTTGTTTGTTGTTTGTTGTTTGTTGTTTGTCGTTTGTTGTTTGCTGTTTGCTGCTTGCTGTTTGCTGTTTGTTGTTTGTTGTTTGTTGCTTGCTGTTTGCTGTTTGTTGTTTGTTGTTGTTGTTGTTGTTGCTGCTGCTGCTGCTGCTGCTGCTGCTGCTGCTGTTGTTGTTGTTGTTGTTGTTGTTGTTGTTGTTGTTGTTGTTGTTGTTGTTGTTGTTGTTGTTGTTGTTGTTGTTGTTGTTGATGTCGTCGTCGTCGTCGTCGTCGTCGTCGTCGTCGTCGTTTTTTTTTGTTGTTGCTTTTTTTTGTGAATATTTTGGTCTTTCGCCCCCAAATCCGCCTGTCCGGGGACATGCCCGACCTAATCCCAGTCCCGTTCCTGCAGGCCCTGGGGGCTCGGAAGCGGCCCCCCCCTGGAGGCCCAGAGCGAGCGAGCCGCCGCAGGCGACGGCGGGGCCGGCTCGGCACGGGCGCAGCCGCGCCGCGGCAGCGGCCCCCCGGCGTGGCGCGCGGGCGCGTGGCCCTCGGCGCTGCGGCGCTCGTCGCTGCACGGCGCTCGCTGGCCGAGGGGGGCGAGCTCCGCGGGCCGAGCGCTTCCGGGGTCGTGGAGACGACCGCGCGCGCGGGCGGGCTGGCGAGAACGAGGTCGGGGAGGCGGCGGCCAGAGTGGCGTCGCTCCTCCGGGGGCAGCACGGGGCCGGCCGCGCGGGCGGCTCTCGGGGCCGTCGCCTCGCCCCGTCCTCGGCCGGCTCCCCGCGCCGCCCCGCGGCGGCCTCCCGCTGCCCTGGGCTCTCCCCGTGGGGCCCTTGGCAGGACCCGCTTCGATCCGATTCGGTGTCGATTCGGTGTCGATTCCGGGCGGTCTGGTCCGACTCGATTCCGACACTCTTCCGGTGCGGCCCGATGCCTGCATGGGGCTGTTATCGGGGGCGGAAAAGAGGGGGGTGATGACTAGGGGGGGGTGGATATCATGGCGTGGGCCATGATATTTCCCCAGATTTCATGGCGCCCCTTCTTAGTTCATTACGTCCCTGGCCCCCCCGCTGGGCCGCGCACATGCCGCCGGTCATGATTTTCACCCCCCCTCTTGGACACCCCCCTCTTGGCCGCTCCCGATGTTAGTGCATCCGGCATCCTGGTGCAGCCGATTCTGGGTTCGGTTTCGATTCCGTGCCCGATTCGCCGGTTCGGTGCCGGCCGATCCTGTCCCTCTGGGACCCCCTGCGCCGTTTCGTAGGCAGAGGCTTTGGGGCGCCTTCTGTCCTCCTGCGGACTCTTGGGGCGAAGAGGGTAATCAAGAGGCAGGAGGGAGAGCTTTTTTCTGGGCGGCAGCGGGGGTTACACGTCACGTTTCGCGCCGGCGCCGTCCGGGAATGCCTAGGAAAATAGCCAAATGCAGCTCGGATAGCAGATACCTTTTGGGGTTCTGCTACGGCAGAGCGCGCATTCCTATAGGGAGCTGCTAAGGCAGAGCGCTTCTCCTTCTCCTTCTATTCCTACCCCTCGTCGTCGTCGTCGTCGTCGTCGTCGTCGTCGTTGTGTTTGTCGTCGTCGTCGTCGTCGTAGCCTTCCTCCTCTCGTCGTCCTCGTCTTCTTCATTATATTGCAAGTTGCTTCGCGCAAGGACAGACGAAGGGGGTGTTGGGAGGAGGGAGGGAGGACCACGAATCGATAACATACATGTAATCAAACAGGTCCTTCCGGCATGGCCTGCCTCGCCCCCTCCCTCCTCCCAACTCTTTCCCCCTTTGTCTGTCCTTGCGTGAAGCACCTTGCAATGTAGTGAAGAAGACGAGGACGACGAGAGGAGGAACGCGACGACGTCGACGACGACGACGATGAGGACAAGAACGACAACGACGATGACGACGCCGACGGCGACGTCGACGACGTCGAGGAAGAGGAGGATGAATAAGAGAAGAAGAAGAAGGGCTTCGCTCTGCCCCCCCTATAGGTGTGCGCGCTTTGCCGTAGCCGTGCCGTAGCAGCTCCCTATAGGTGTGCGCGCTCTGCCGTAGCCGCAGATCCCCACAGGTATCTGCTGCCGGAGCTGTCTCGGCCTATCCTTAAGCATTCCCAGACGGCGTCGGCTCGAAACGTGACGTTATCAGGGAGGGCGGGGTGGGGGTGTGAACGGCCTTTACCTCGAAAAATGACAAACGCTTTCAAGCAGTGGAGCACATGGGATGTTTCTCAGATCTTTCCCAGAGGGACCGTGGGATACCTCTCGGGGCCGCTGGGGGCGCTCTTGGGCGTTCTCGCCAGGGTCAGGCTGTGATGTCCGCGCCGTCGGCTGTGGTTGGCCCTCACTAGAGGAGCGTGAAGTATTGATATTGATAGTTTTCAGGATTTCCAGGTTTTCCTGTTCTTCCGCGCGGGCTCCAGGGACGAATGGTCGAGCGCATTCCGTCGCGCAGGTTCTTTGTGTGATGTGCGCGGTGTATTTTCCGCGCATCGGAACGCCCTCGGAGATTCCAAGCTGCATGCTGTGTTTCTCTTGGGGAGTCCGCGAGTCGCAGCTACCGTGGCTTTTTTTTTGATGCAACCCCTTCGAGTGCCGTTCGCGGGCACAACGCGCGGCGCGCGCTGCGCCCAATCGCGCGCGGCGCGGTGCGTGAATCAGCCGGCCGCGCCCGTCGGACCGCCCGGAAATTATTTCTGGATTGTAGGATGTTTCAGAAAACGCTTCCGTTTTTCTGGGCGCAAGCGGTTCCGGAAGCTTTCAAGAAGGAGCCCGGAAATTTGCAACAAACAGTTTTGAGGGGTGGAATGCGCCCGCCGCGCAGGACATCTGACAAATTCTGAAATCCGGAATCTTTCAAAATGGATTCTGGATTTTTCAAAATCGATCCCGGAATGTTTCAAAATCGATCTTGGTATTTTCCAAAAAGTAGGCCGGACATTCTCTTCAAATTCAAATTTATCCCCGGAGAATTTTCCAGAGTCGCACGTGATTTGCCTTACCATGTCCTTGGACATCCGCCGAGGCGCGCGGTGCGCGGCGGCGTGCGATGGGACGGTGCGCCACCGTCCCCCCCGGGTTCGGCAACGAGAAGTGGGATCAGCAAGTGCCAAATAGCCCCCTATACGGGCGACCACTCGATTGCGAATGGGTGACCGACCAGCGGCGCCAGCCAGAGTAGACAATACTCGACACAAAGTATACCCCGCGCGAAGGCTGTTAGAAATCCCGGACTCCCCGGAACGCATCAATAGCACGCTGAGGGTGGGTCACCGGGTGATTCACCCTCAGCGGGAGCTCTTCCCAGCCCGTGAGGTGATCGAGCATGTCCCACTCGGACGCCGATCGCGCGGACGTCCGAGGCTCCATTCTCCCGAGGCGGATAGCTTTAATGGGGCCGATGGCGAACAGGTGCAGTCGGAACGCATGGCGGCTGCTGCTGGGCAGCGCTCGTCGCGGAACCGACAACGCGTCTGGCACACGACGAGCAGGATGCCCATACATCCGCCGATTTTTTTCTGGTCAGCGCGCGGCCCCACAGGCACCGATTCCTTTCCCCGATGCAGGTCTCCGCCCCGCGCCAAGTGCTGATGGCCCCCGGGCCCGACGACGGGCCCGGCAGAGGCCGGGGCCGAGGCAAAGCGCCTTGGCGGGCAAAAGCCGCGCCGCCGGAGATCTGGGCACGCGTCCGGCCGTCGCGCGCCCACCCGCTCCGCCCACAGCGTTGGCCCCGCCCACTGCGGCGGGGCTCGTGCCCTGGGAGGGCCACGGGGCGGCCGCGGGGCCTGGGTGCCGATGGCCCTCGGTTCGTGGTATCCGTGCCCGAGCTAAGCTTAAGTCGGGCGTGTCCCTCCCTCTACAGGGGGAGTATCCCAACATTGTCAAATGACCGTATTTTTTGTGTGTTATATATATATATATATATATATATATATATATATATAGATGTTTATGTATATGTATATATACATATTTATATACACATGATTAT